GATGCTTCAGAGTTCACACTTTAAAATCCCATATTATGCTAATCACATTTCGTACTTTTGTAATAAACAATGAGATTAACAGTTATTATTCTTATTTGATCAACAAATATTTATTAACTAGGTACCAAGCACCATATTAGCTGTTAAAACACCAAAATAAATCCATGCTTTTATGGACCTTGTATCATAGGAGGGGAAGCAATATGCAATAAATGTTAAAAAAAAAAAAAAAAGGCAGGGGACGGGTTGCCTGGCTGGCCCAGTTGGAGAAGCATGCAACTCTTGGTCTCAGAGTGGTGAGTTCGAGCCCCATGTTGGGTGTAGAGATTAAATAAACTTTTTAAAAAAGACAATAAAAGTGAACCAGATAAAGACAATTATATGGCTTCACTCATATGTGGAAATATAAGAAACAGGGCAGAGGATCATATGGGAAGGGAAGGAAAACGGAATGGGAAGTAATCAGAGGAAGACAAACCAAAATAAATTCTTAACTCGGGATGCCTGGGTGACCAGGGGTTGAGCATCTGCCTTCGGAGCCGGGCGTGATCCTGGAGTCCTGGGATGGAGCCTGCTCCTCCTGTCTCTGCCTCTCTCTCTGTCTCTCTCATGAATAAATAAATAAAATCTTTAAAAAATTCTTAAATCTTTGAAACAAACTGAGGGTTGCTGGAGGGGAGGAGGATGGGGGGAGGGGGTAAACTAGGTGACAGGCAATTAAGGAGGGCACGTGATGTCATGAGCACTGGGTGTTATACAGAACTATGAATTATTTAACTCTACCTCTGAAACTAATGCGCTATCTGTTCACTAAAGTTTTTAAAAAGACAATAAATATAACAAATGTTATAAAGTAATAAGCACTGGGGAAAAAAAGAAAATAGAGCATGGAAAAAATCAGGAGTGAGAGATGGGGGGAACTGAAGGTACAATTTTAAGAGATCTCACTGAAAAGGTGACATATGTAAGCAAAGACTTGAAGGTGAGGAAATTAGTCATATGTATCATCTCTGTAGGAAAAACTAGCTATTTTCCACTAGAGGGAATAGCTAATGCAAAGGTCCTAAGATAGTGTGACTGATGTATTTAAGTAATAAGTCAAGGTGGCTGGGATGGAGTGAGCAAGAGGAAGGTAACAGATCAACAGAGAAGGGGGGGAGAACTGCAGATCATTAAAGACCTTACAGGTCACTGTCAGAATAGATTTGTACTGAGAGAAATGGGGATATAAAAATGAGGAGCCTTGGGCACCCCAGGTGGCTCAGCGGTTTAGTGCCACCTTCAGCCCAGGATGTGATCCTGGAGACCCCGGATCAAGTCCCATTTTGGGCTTCCTGCATGGAGCCTCCTTCTCCCTCTGCCTGTGTCTCTGCCTCTCTCTCATGAATAAATAAATAAAATCTTAAAAAAAAAAAAAAAAAAAACCTTCCCCCAAAATGAAACAAGATCAAGAAAGCTATGATCAGGTGGTTTAAAGCAAGACTTTCAGGTTTCAAGTAATGGTAACCTGAATTATTTTAAAAATGTATACCATTCAAATGTGAAACGCAAGAAGAGAATGGCTCAGGAATGTTGAAGTATTGTCATTTTTGTTAATACTTTACTGGTTAGTACTAATAACAATTAAGCTTATGCATTGTCAAAGAAGTTTCTGCAATTACTATGTCAGGTCTGGATTTGACCAGTTTCATACCTCAAAAGCAACAAAATATGTGTTCTTATTCATCTGTTGCTTTTGGTACTATAACTCACAACTCTTGATAGGTTCTTGCCAGTTAATGGCAACTTAAGGCAATGACAAAGATCAGAGGATTTTGAGGGACGTACCATCTAAGAAGTAGACAAGTTAAGCTTTTTAATGACCCTGGGTCACTCCTTTCCTACTGAATGAATTCAAAATTACATAGGAATATTTTAAATATCCATAAGAGAGTAAGAAATGGAACATGAGGATGGAGCATTTCAAATCAGATCTATTCTTCAATGCTTTCATCATTATTACACAAATACAGGATTGTCTCTACTTCAAGGACTCTGAAGCCACCAAAATCGCTAACCAATACCTATAGAAAATATCACTGGGATACTGAGGCTAAACCACACAATACAGCTAATAGATTTCCCCCTAAAAGGCACACCTTTTCAACAAAAACTGAACTTCCTTATGTATCTTTTCTCAAGCTTAACCAATGCAAGGGAACTGCAACTTTGTGTGGCATCCTCTGATAGGTTAGATTTTTCCTGAGCAAGAAGTGGACAGTTTTACACCAGGGCTAGATTTATAGTCAATCTGGGTGTGTCTTTTCTTCCCTCCTCCCCTCCAAACTACTTCAGAGTTTTTCAGTACTGTAAAAGGTCTGGAGGAAATAATTCCTTGGTCCTAGTTAAGGACCTAGTTAAGGCTCAAATCTTAACAGTTTCTGGGACACCAGGATGGCTCAGCAGTTTAGCGCCTGCCTTTGGCCCAGGGTGTGATCCCAGGGTCCCGGGATCGAGTCCCACATCGGGCTCCCTGCACAGAGTCTGCTTCTCCTTCTGCCTATGTGTGTGTCTCTCTCTCTGACTCTCATGAAGAAATAAATGATATCTTTAAAAAAAAAAAAAAACTTAGTTTCTCTAGCAGTTGTTTTAATCAATCCAAGCTGGTTTGGCTTTTCTCGATGAGCCAAACAACATAAGTATTCTGAGTGCAGAGTGTCTGCCTGTGAACATGCTTATCCCAGTGGGTTGACTGACATGGACTATACTTGAGTCTAGAAATTAGGACAGCACACAAATGATGTTCCCCACCTATGTCCCTCTGGCTCAGTAGGTGTGGAAGATAAGGAACAGTAAATTGAAGCAAGAGGCCTGGTTTACATACAACATACTGCTTAAAGCTAGGATGAATCCAGAGGTGCCAGCATATGATCAGGATACTATTAATGACACACTGACACCCTTCCCCCCCATCCCCCCCTACGCTGCTGTTCTGTAACCAAAATCCAACCTGAAGGTCTGGCCAAGCCCAGACAGAAAAAAGAAGAAGGAGGTGGTGTGTGTGTGTGGGGGGGGGGGGGATTATTGGAAACATTTGTCCAAGAAAAAAAAAAGGAGAAAGATGGAGAGAAAGAGGGACAGCACACAGGCTTTTGAATATACTTTAAGACTATGAGGTTCAAAAAAATCTTTCACATCTTCTCTCCCCACACCCGTGGTCTTATGCTAAACACAGCAGTAAAAGTTACTGCCAAAACTTAGACTTGAACCGCTGATCAGGGTACCTGGTCAGTACTGTTCCTAGACAAGTATCTGAGTGCAGCCTCTGTTTAGAGCCTTTTCGGACTGCCTCTAAACAGGAAGTTAACAGACATCACAGTCAGGGGAGGCAAACCACAGTGTCATAAAGATGGATGCTGCTGTCGGCTACAAATCCCTCTCACTTTATTGAAAGTATTCTCAAGGAAGAAGCAGAACAAAGGTCCATAAGCCTCATCTTTTCTCAAACTGGGTCACTCAGCCTACAGGTCTGGCCTTCTGATTCCCACTGATTGTTTCTCTGCTTCATGCCTGCCCATGATGGCTATACCACTGCCCCTAGACTAAAAAACTATATTCCTCTAAAAATGGAAGACAGTACAACCAGATCAGTACTCCCACTAAGTCACTCTTCATACACCCAGCTTAAAAAGCCCAAGGAAAGACTATTCTTGAGCCAGCCCATCCTCAAATACAGACTCGATATCAGTCACCTAAAAGCAGCACCATTTCCTTACACACGTGGGCCTTCCTTTAAAATACCCGGAGGCCTTCCATAGCACCACCGTTAGAAGCTCCCGAAGTAGCCTCCTTCCCCATCACGCCGGCACCAATGCTGACCACTCCGGCACCGAAAACGGGAGTCAGACTTCAAGGAAGAGTTTAGGTCAATGTATCAAAGAAAAAAACAAAAAAAGTGAGCACCGAACACCCCACGAGGTGAGACTCCAACACCGAGGCAGCAAGCTGCTGCCAGAAAACAATCAGAAACCAGGCACCAGGGAGTGAGGCTCGGTGGCTGGAGAAGTTGAGAGGGGAGCCTGCATTTTGAATCACACGCACCCAGTCTACCAAACACTAAATTTTCTGAAATAAAAACGTTTCAAAAACTCAGAAGCATCAGCTCGTCGTCGACACGGACGAGAGACCTGCCCTGACCCCGGAGCCCCGCTGCAGCCCGGCCGGGAAGCCGGCTCCCTCCTTGCCGAACCTCCGCACACGCACACAAAAGCCCTCGGAACCGCCGCGGATCGGAAGCCCGAAATCCGTCCCGAGGGCCGCCGGAGCCCCACCGACAGCCCCCGCCCCCGGGCCCGCTCCTGCGCGCCGGGGGTCGGCGAAGGGGGAGCGCCGTCCCGGCCCGCGGGCGGCCCAGCGGGAGGCCAGCGCCTCGGCGTCCCCGCGAGTGGAGCCACAAAGTCCTCCAAGTCCCGCGCCGCCGGCTCCCGGGCACCGAAGGAAAGCGCTGCCCCCGAAGAAAGAGGAGCCTGGCCGGCGCGCGGGGAGCGGCCCCCACAGCCCCGAGGGCAGCCCCGGGGGCGGGGGCGCTCGAGAGGAGCGCGGGGGCGGCGGGCGGGCGGGCAGGAGGCCGAGAGTGGAAGCGGGGATGGCGGGGGAACGGGGCGCGCGGGAGGGGAAAGGGAGTAAAAGCAGAAGAAGCGGAGGGACGCGAGGCGGGGGCGCGCGAGGCCGGAGGGAAAGGCCGGGGCGCGCGCGCGGGCGGGGGAGGGGACGAGGTGAGCGGAGCGCGGGGCGGGGGCGCGCGGGGCCGGGCGGGGGAGGGGGACGCGAGGCGGGGGCGCGCGGGCGGGCGTCGGCTCGCGGGCGCTTCCCCTCCCCCGCCCTCCACCTTGCCCTTCCCCCACCACCGCCGCCGCCGCCACCGCCGCCTCCGCCTCCGCCTCCCGGCTCCCTCCTGTCCTCGCCGCTCGCCGCCCCCGGGCGGGCGGGAGGCCGGGCGGGCCTAGGCCACAGCTCCTCACCTGGCGGTGGCGGTGTAACTCCCGGCGAGCTCGCCTCCTCAGGCGGCGGCGGAGGCGTCGAAAAAGGGAGGCGACGGCACAGTGGGTTCCGGACCCCGCCGACAGGACCGGGGGCGGGGGTGGGGGAGGGGGGCGGGCCGGACCGGGGCGGGCGGGCGGAGCAGACACTGCGGTACAGACGGGGGGCAGCGGCGGCGGCGGCGGCGGCTGCACCGGCGGCGGCACCACACAAACAAGGACGCTGATTGGGCAGCTGCCAAGCGCCTGGGCTCCACCTTCCCTACACGCCACGACGCCCATTGGGCGACCTCAGCCGGCCTCCCCGCCCTCTTCTTCCAGGCCTCGCTAATAGCAGGCGGGATGCCGGGACTACACCCCACCCTTGAAGAGTGAGTGGCTGGAGGAGCGCTGATTGGCGGCCGCCGCACCCAATCGTGCGCGGAGGAGGGGGATGGTCTAGCGGGGGCGCGTTAATGGGTACCTCGGCCAGTCCCAGACACATCCGGGTCTTCGGCAGCCCATTAAGTGTCGGGGGTCAAAAAATCGCTTCAGGCTGCAACTTTCCCTTGGAGACGTTTTGGTCCCCAGGCAGCCGCCGTACCCCGTACCCCACACCGGGATCCCCAGGGACCGCTCTCATCCTCCCGACTCCAAAGATGGAGGTCGGCGGGCAGCGCTGGGCTCTGCGTGGGGGGTGGCCCATCGCGACCGAGCCCTGGAACCCGACGAAGGCCGCGGCGGCAGGCGCCGGGCCTCGCGGTCCGTGCGGGGCGTGGCCTCCGGGTGTGCGTGGGGCGCGGGCGGGGCGGCGGGGCCGTGAGCTCGGGGGCCCGGGCCTCCAACGGTGGATGCGGTGTCCGCCGCCCCCCGGTACAAGCCCGCGGCCCGGGTGCGGCTGACACCCCAAAGCAGGCTCCGAGACGCCGAGGGCCTGGCGCGGGAGACTGGCGCCCCGGCCGAGTCCCTGCGGCTCCGCCTTCTCCCGGCCATGGGCTCCGCTGCACGTCCCCTCGCCCGGACGCTCTGTGCCTCAGTTTCCCCATCTGTCAAACGGGAAGGATGGAGAGGAGCGCCCGTCGCACCGGGTCATCGTGACGATAAGATAGTACGTTCAAGGAGCGCAGGTCGGCGCCGAGGACGCGGGCAGCACTCAGCCAGCGCGACAGCAGCCACGAGCAGACTTTTCCAACAATTGCACTGAGTCGCACATCCCGCTTCCATCGGTGCCCTCCTTGCAGGCACCGAACACGGTTTCCCGTCCTAACGTTCTCAGCGACTCGGTCATTTGACACAAACCCACAGGCCCCTGTGTGCGGGGATGTGGCGGGTGACCTGCCTTCAGGAGCGGCCGCCCTCTTCCTGACCTGTTCTGCACCCCTCACCAGCTGGCCCTCCAGGGCAGACAGGGGAAAGGCGGTGGCCGGAGATGCCAGCCTGACCAAGGTGCCAGGGAAGCCCCAGAAAATACCTTAAAGGCAGACTGTGGAAGGGACTTTGAATATGGGGCCTCAGACTCCAAGGACAGGGGTGAGGCCACCACTGCCCAGCGGACCTGACCTTTCCCTTCACAGACCACCTGTTCGTTGGCTTTTCTTTCCAAAGCCAGTGTTTATGAAGTGTGCTTAGCACTTAATAAGGATTGTAGGATTAATCTTGGTAAACAATCTCAATTTGCAGATGAGGAAACACTGAGGTGCAGGAGTTAAGTAATTTGGCTGATGTAATAAAATTAGTAAGTTGCAGAGACAAGATTTAATTGAACTGTCAAACTCAAGCCTGTATAGGCTCTCAAGTCTGGTAAGAAAAAACGAGCCAGGAATAGGCCTGTCCTCCTTCATCTAGCTCCCTAGGCCATAGCACAGAGATGTCATAGGTTGTAGTGAGTACTTTACTCTTGGAATTTCCAGATATTCCTGGGGCTAAAGGATTCTGTAGTCCTGTCCACCTGACTGTAGGTCTCTACAAGGAGGCCCAAAAGTAAGAAGTACAGGAGTTGGAAGTGAGAGTGATTATCATTACTGTCTGAGGCAAGGGGTGCTCTAGACCATCAAGATGGTATGCTCTGTGAAGGTAAGGGACTAAAATCCTCTCATTCCAGACAGTTCACTCTGCTGGACATACTATGCCCTACAAACACTTGGGATATCAGGAAGGCGGTTGCTCCCTTGCAGATATAGGCACAGGATGATTCTGGGGAGTCAGGTCCGATCAGAACCTGGACTGACAGGAGGGTTTCCCTTCTGAAGGACACACCTCCCAGTCCCCAGCAGGACAGAGCGCATCTCCTAAACCCTCACTTCCCTCCCATGCAGCTCTTTTAGGATGCTGGAAAAGCATCCACCATGCTCACTGCAGGATGCAGAAGGGTCGGTCCTGTGGCTCGAAGTTTCCAGTACTCCTCTCTCCATCCACTGTTCACCACCCCCAGGAATTTGCACTAAAGCCTCATGTAAGTTATCCCTTCCATTGACACTCCTGCCCTCCTTCCCCAAGGCATGTGTTTTGTTGGCTAATTCCCTTTGGTGATTGGTTCTGCAGCTCTTTGGGAGTTGTTTCCTGTGTTTATTTCATTCTACAGGAAAGGGAGAATTCTGAGTGTCTCCTTCTTGTCCAGTGAGCTCCTTCATCCTTGCCTGTCTTCCTGGTCCTGTCCACAGGCTGAGACCCTAGTTGGAAGAGCACCACCTGCACCTAGAGCAACTGAGGGGGTCTAGGGGGGCTGCCAGAGCTCCCAGGGTACATGAGAGCTGCCAGTACCGCCTACCCGGGAGTGGGCTGTCCTCTCTGTGGAGGTACTAGAGAAGCTGGGAGAGAGGAAAGAAGGCAGAGATGAGCTCAAGGCCCCCAGAGAATGGAGCCTTTGTGTGGGGTACAAATGAGGGACAAGGGGGTGATTGTGTGGGAGGGCCGGAAGAGCCACACAGCCTGGCACCACCATAGCCAGCACCGGATTCACCCATCTCCTGCTCCGACAACTCCCTGAGCACCAAGGGACCAGCACCAGACCTGGTCGGGGAAGGCATGGCAGACTTGATGCTGCAGGGATGAAAGTGGAAAGGAGGAAAAAGAAATACCTCTGCCGTTCATTATCCCAGACCCAGGGAACAGGAGGCAGAAGGAAAAAACAGAAGCAGCTTTTACTATATTTACATCCAACAAAACTTCGCAAGGAACAATCCTTACTGCACAGCCAGGGCCCTGGGCAGAGTGGAGGTAACAATGAGGACTGGATGGGGCTCCCTCAGCTCCCTCCTGACTTTCCAGGAGCTACAAACCGCTGAACCACGGTGCCCCATTTCCCTTCTCTCTCATCATCCCCAGGAACCTCATCAGCAAGGGGGCTGTGGCTCCAAAATAAATAACTTAAAATACAAACACTAAGGTAGACAGTGGGGAGCTTCAGGCTACTTCAGCAGTTCCAGGAAAGGAGGCCTGTCACCTGGCCTGGCAAGGAATGACATCCCTCCCTCCTACTCAGGGCAAAGGCTCAGCAGCTCTGTCGCTTTCCAGTTGTTTTTTAAAACAAAAACTTAGAAAATGCCCAGGGCAGTGCAGACCTGTGGGTGCCCTGGAGGAGAGTCCCCGGTGTAATCTGGGGAGGAACAGAGCTGTGCCAACTCCCGCCAGATATCGTACTACATCAGCATAAGCGTACTGGGTAGGCTGGAGATAGGGGCATCATGACTTCTGGTAACAGGGGTCCCTCCTCTCTTTTGTTGCCCACATTTGGAGCCTAGGGCTGGGTCTGCTTTCCAACTCCTCTATGAAAGGAGTAAGGAGAGCAGTTATCTCCAGGATGCCTTCTCCCTCACCTCCCCACCCCAGGCCAGAGAGGAGAGCTTAAGGGTTCCTAGCATTCCAGAGGTGCTCCAAAACATTTCCGGCAATCTATGGCCTTTGGGGTGGGCATCTGTGCCCGTCGCTGCCTCAGCTCCTCCTTGCCCATGCTGCTGGCCAGCTTGTTAAAGGCGGACTTGTACTTCTTGTCGAAAGCCACTAGGGAAGAGGATGAAAGTAGGTCAACAGAGGAGGATTCCCACCCCCCTCCTCCAACATCCAGCCCCAGATACTTAAACTCCTCAGGCCCCTGCTGCTCCCTTACCTATGTCCACGTGGTCCTTGCCCAGAGCAGCCATTGTCAGGAACAAGATTTCACGGTAGATGCCCCTGGAGTGGAGGCAGAGGGTATGAATGAGAGAAGGGGTTATGGAGCCTGGGACAGGCCAGGTACCTCCCAGAGAGGTGCACCATACCTCTGCAAGTGCAGACCAGCGGGAGGTGGCCCTAGCGTTTCCAGTAGGAGCCCTACAGCCTTGTGCACCTCATTGAGACCAACGTGGCGCAATACTGACTCCAGCAGGTCCAGGCTGAGGGGTGCAGGGATGGGGCCTGGCCATACCACCCGCTGTGGGATCTGGCCTGGGTGAAAGAAAGGAAAGCAGCCAGGATATTACTGAGCCCTCTGGGTGTGGGACGCACTCCTTCCCAGCCTGGGCCAAACACCACACTCACTGTGGATCCTCCAGAGCACGTAGAGAGGTGGGCAGCTACTGGGATCAGGGGTGAGGACATCCCACAGCAGCCGCACCTGCACAGATGCTGGATCAGGCATCAGCCAAGGAGATGGGGCCTGTAAAGAGCCAAGACAAAGGCAGGCTCACGAACTGCAGGCGGAGGGCTTGAGATGGACCAGCAATGCTCTGAGAGAGAGGGGCATCATGGGATGCAGCCAAAAAAACAAGGGGAAGGAACCTGTATCCCCCATGAGAGTGCAAGCTCTGAGAGCATGCATTTGTCCTGACATCTGCATCCCTCGTGCCTAAAAACTGCCTGGAACCTGAAAGGTGCTCAATAAATACTGGTGTCATGACAGACAGACATCCAGGAATCATTGTGGGAGGTACTGGGCACCACACAGGCATCTAACCCTGGGCCCTGGGCACCTAGGCCGCGTCACAAGTCCGCAGACGAAGGCTTAGTTGTAAAGTGAACAGGCCAGGGATCAGACTGGGGCAATGGACCCAAAGAGCCTGTGCCAGCTCTTCGGGGCGTGAGACACCAGGAGGTGAGGTGGGCCATACCCAGCAAGCGGGGCGACATAAGGGCACTGACCTGGGGCAGTGGGGGCCCATCACAGGAGGCCAGCACCAGGCA